GGCCCGGTGGCGCACTGGAGAGTGTGCTGCTTGGGAGCCGGCGGCGCTCCCGCTGAGGGTTCGGATCCCATGTGAAGACCGGTTCCCGCTCACTGACTGAGCGCAGTGCGGGCACAACACCGAGGGTTGCGATCCCGTTGCCGGTCCCCGGTATGGGCGTGACACCGAGGGTTGTGATCCCGTTACCGGTCAGTAAAAAAAAAAAAAAAAGATCTGAGTTCAAATCCTAGTTCAGTCACAAAGAGCTGACTGACATTGAGGAAGTCTTTGGGTTCACNCGCTCAGCCAGTGAGCGGGAACCAGTCTGTATGTGGGATCTGAACCCTCAGTGGGAGCGCCACCGCACTCCCAAGTGGCGCACTGCAGCAGTGCGCCACCGGGCCGGCCCAGAATTTCTGATCTTGAAGATAGACTTTTCAAAATAACCCATGCTGACAAAACAAAAGGAAAAAAGAATTTTAAAAAATGAAGAAAACCTAAGAGACCTAACAGACAAATTTAAGCATACAAATATCTAAATCATGGCTGTTCCAGAAGGGTAGGAGAAAGGAAAAGACATTGAAAACCTACTCTATAAGATAATAATGGAAAACTTCCTAGGTATAGGGAGAGACACAAACCTTCAGATCCAAAAGGCTCAAAGATCTCCAAACAGATTCAACCCAGAAAGATCCTCTCCAAGACACATTATAAACAAAGTGGCAAAGCTCAAAGACAAAGAAAGAATCCTAAAGGCAGCAAGAGAAAAGCGTCAAGTCATCTATAAGGAAGCCCCTACCAGCCTAACAGCACACTTCTCAACAGAAACTCTACAGGCCAGAAGAAAACAGGGTGATATATCCAAACTATTAAAAGAAAAACACTGCCAGCCAAGAATACCATATCCAGCAAGGTTATCCTTCACAAGTAAGGAAGAAATAGTGTATTCCCCATACAAACAAAAACTGCAAGAGTTCACCACCATACAACCAACCCTGCCAAAATTATCAAGGGAGTCCTACATGTGGAACCTGAAAAACGATAATCACTATTACAAATGCACAAGAAAAAACAAAACCCACTGGTAGAACAAAAAATGCCAATAAGAAAGAGAAGTAAATTAAATCTTACCACATCAAAAACACAACAAATGTCAAAGACAAACAATAAAAGGGGAAAGGAAACACAAGATATTTCAAACATCCAAACAAAAAAGCTGTCTTCAAGAGACTCACCTCACCTCCCACATTTATCACAGCTCTATTTACAATAGCTAAGAGTTGGAACCAACCTAAATGTCCATTGAC